TAATAATTCACAATAATTTATAACAATTCATAATAATTACAAACATTGTTCCAAGAGGCATAACAATTAATTATCTCCCAAAATGATCCCCTTTCCTTTGTCCTTGCTTGGTCCAACCCCTAGTTGGTGAATATTTGAACATAAAGAAATGAGATTTCATAGAAATATCAATAGCAATGAATCATAATTATCATGCTAATTATGCTATGTAAAAATATGCTATGTTATCATGAAAATAACATTATCATGCAACATTTTATGTGCATATCATTTGTCATGGAAAGAGAGCAATTAATCAAGCCATTATACCACTCCTCATAACATATTGCCAAGGCAAATTCGACATAGAATTCTATATATAATCACATAGTTTGCTCAATCACATCATGGCAACATAGATCAAATAAAATATACACATTTAAACAAGTAGGAAAGCATTCAAATTATGAGTTCAATGATGCCTTTTGATTAATTATTCAATTCAGCCTCTTTGGGAAATTTGTGCTTCTCTTTGATTTTTTGTATAATGCCTATCAATCCAAGCATAAATAGATTCCAAATTACTAATAATCCAAGTATAAACACTAATGCTCAACATCAACTCAATTAAACCCCTTTTTTTCCTTGATTTTTGACATAATTATTTCTTCTTTGCTTTAACCAATTTCTTGAGCCATTCCTACACAAATTTTCATATAAAATCCAAATATCAAATCAGATTTAACAAAAACATACTTCTTTCCCTTCAAACTGATTTGGCAGAATAGGGTAGGTTTAGGTTCTAAAATTTTTATTTTTGATTCTAATGATTTTAAATACTTTTTCTTAGTGTTTTCCTATACAAAACACCTTTTAAACTCATTGGAATCATCAAATCACATTGAAACAATCTCCAATCTCAAAATTCCATAGTGGCCGAATAGGGTATATACAACCCTAATTTTGGTTTTCTTCCAAAATTCAATCCAAAGATCAATTAAATATGCTATTTCAAGTTCATATTCATGGTTTCTATCCTTCCCTAATTCATTCTCGTGGTAACCAAAAAATCACAGCATAGGGGTTTAGGTTTTGTCATGAAATTTCAACCAAAATAACCCTTAAATCTAACCAAAATCAAGCTTAGACATGCCTTAATAGATCCTTGCTTGAAGCTTGATGATTTTCCTTTGACTTGGAAGGTTTTAGGTGCTGTTTAAGGGCAAGATTTCACTTGGAAAGAATTTCCCCTCTTTTGTCTATTTTTGGTCGAATTTCATATATTTAGGGGTGTATTTATAGAGCTCAAAATCTGACCATACTCCCTCTAAAGTGGCGCCATCTTCTACCACATGAGGAGCCATGTGTCCCTTTTCTTAACCCCCAAATTTCAGATCATGCCAAGTGTCCTTTCTTCTTGATTTTTCTTTTGGATGTTGGGCTTAAATTGGACTTAATCTCTCTTTACATAATGGACCATGGCTGCACGAAATTTTTGGGCTTTCTCGGCCTAATATGAATCTCAAAACTTATTAGAAAGGAAGAGGAAGTATGACCCAATCACAAATGTTAATTTCTAACCAAAACTTACTATTTCAGTTACTATTTTCAAAAATAGTTCTGGGGTCTCCAAAAATTCATTTCTCTCCATCAAAAACTCCCTTTTAATATAGGAAAGCCTCCTGAAAAAATTTATCTTAACCTCCAACTATTTATTTTGAATTTTCTCTAAAATCGAACTTTACTAATAAGATTTTGGCAATAAATAATCTAAAATTAATTCTTGTACTTCCAGGGCCTGAGAATAATTTTATAAACTCAGATGAATTCTTAAATAATTATTCCATATTTTTTTCAAAATTTTTTGAGGCCTCTACATATTTAAAATAATTATTTCTACTTAGTTTTCACTATTTTTCCTGAACAACTATTGTTTTCAGAAAATTCTATAATAAGTTACTACCTCCGGTCCTAATTATAAGAGCCAGTTGACTAATTTGAGGAGATTAAAGAAGTAAGTTGAGTTAGTTATTTGTCCTAAATAGGTGTTGTCTTTCCTAAAATATCCTTGCAAATCAAGTGTATTGATTAGAACTATTATTGTTAGAAGGGTTACTTTGGAAAAAAAAATGTATAAATATGAGAGAGAATGGATTGGGGTCTTATATTTAGGACCAAAATAAAAGTCAAACAAAATCTTATATTAAGGACCGGAGGTAGTATTTTTATTTTATTTTCACATTTAGAGCCTCAAATGGGGTTCCAAAATCTCTAATTTACTAATTTTTTATTTTTCAGGAATTTTCTAGAATTTTTTTGTAATTTTTCCATTTTTTCCTTTCTGGATCGATAATTTAAAAAATATCACTCCGAACCCTATCTGGATTTTATGTTATGCCTGGCTTCGTTAACCAATCTACTTTCCCTATTGGCCCTTGACTTAATTTTTTATTCCTATTATTAGGGTTAAATTTTGTGGGATGTGATAGTCTCTCTTTTAGATTCTATACTAATTAAAATAATTATTTTGAACAAATTAAAAAAATCAGATCTAGACCATCCAAATGAGATATGAACTATCCAAATCCGATGAGTTTAGGGTGCTCATCAAAGTGATGAGCACTGAAACTAACTCTATACAGCTACTGAGCTTTGCCAAGATTAAAGTGTAACCTTGGAAGCAACTTACACTAGTAGAATGCAATCAGAGTCATCCACAAGCATCATAATTCTCTTGAAAATATTAACAATGATCAATATGATTTCAGAAGGAACCCATTTCAAAGTCATCAATGATTTTACTCCCTTTAAGCTTAAATAAACATGCAAACAGATAGCCAAAGCAAAATCATACAAGGAACAAGGGACAAGATTCATATTCTGACTTACTTGAATCGTCAAACCCTCAAGATTATTCCCCCTCCACTTTCCCTGCAGACCCATGTCTAATCCTTAGAAACCATTCAATCATCATCATCATGTGTATTGACCCTACCCACCTTTTGTTCCATCCGTCAATATCCCCCACTCTATCATTGATCCAGAACTCCCAAGTTTCAATTTTGGCTATGACATTGGTCTTGGAGGTACCTAACAAAGATCCTCAGCCCCTACATCACAAATAGAATACCTCCCAACTCTCTTATCAAAAGAGATTTGGCCTATTATAATGTCCTACTCCCACTCCAACCAGCCAAATCTGCCTCCACGCCATAGATCTTCCTCCCCAATTGCCCACCGTCTCTTTCTAATGTCCTTCTCAAAACAGTCATGAAAAAGTTTATTTTAACCAATTTTAAAAGGCTTTTCTATATTAATGCTCACGCATTGCCTCTCATAACCACACTAGGAATGAGCTGGAAGAGTGGTTCAATGGTTGCCTCATTCTCCTCATAAAACACCCAACTCATCGATTATGAGGAACTTTTAACTTAGGGAGAGAGACTGTAGCAAAAATATAGCTAGACGATAAACTTCAGCATAGCTTCATGGTGTCGGCCCCTTCGTATTGATTGTACATTTAATTGGGAAGGTGATTAATCGTTTAAATCTCCTTTAAGTGCCTCCATTAATACTAGAGAAAATTGGAATATGGGCAAGCTATGAATATTAAAAAAAATACAACTATTTAATAAATTTAAAACATTTATAATCAATTTGAATAAATTGAATTCTAGTTTTCTATAAGAGTAAAATACTTTAACTTCCCTTACATTTTGTCCTAATTACAATGATATCCTCTCTATTTTGAAAATAAATACTTAAGTCTAAACCGTTAACTTCGTTAAGAATATTCTAAAAAAGATATTTTTGAATTAAAATTCATATTAAAATACTTTTTATTCATTAATTTAGCTTTTATAATACTAAATCCCTAACTTTTGATTAAAATTTTTTAAAGAATTAAAAATGTTTCCTCTTCCTTGATTTTATTTTTCTATTTTTACAAACAGTTATTTGTTTAGTGTTTCTGTCATATTGGAATCGAAAATAAATTAATTTAGTTAATGTAGACATAAAAACTTTGAGTGGAAATTTGATTAATTCTTTAAATAAATAATAATAGACTAAATTCTTAAATTGTAAATTTAAATGATTTCTATAGTACTCTCTCAAACTTAGACAATTTATATTATATGATGAAAAAATATTTATTTAATATATTTTCTAGCCATTCAAAAGAAACCTAAATAAATAAGTTTCATTATGAGGTGAAAAATTAAAATTATAAAATTTTATAACATAATCAAAATTAATAAATTTTATGCATGTTAAAAATTTGAAAATACATGCTTTAAAATTATTTTTGTGTCATCAAAAATTAGCTTTTTTTTCAAATATCAATGTTTAAATAACTTTTATGTTAAGGAAATATATTTTGGTCAAAATATAAGTTTAAAAATTAAACTTAACAGTCACCTGACAGTTTAATAGATGAAAATGAAATCTCAAATATACATCAGATGTTTATATAAAATGTATTTTAATTTTAAAAAAGGTTTATATACATTTTCAAATAGGAGAGGTTTCTATAATTTAGATAAAATAGAGGGGCAGTTAGAGTATTTTACTCTTTCTATAATTATTTTAGAACAATTCTCGGTTAGGCTAGTATGCGTGTATTGGATTCGTATGCAATTGTTGACTTTATGACATATACATTGTGCATTTTCTCCATTTATATATAAACTTACAAAGGATGATTGAATTTATACACCATTATTAAATACTTAATTCATGAACCTTTCTAAATGCATGAATCATTGGATAATTATTAATTAAGTACATGCATAACGATATTGGCTAATAAAAGAACATGAATAACAATTATTTTAGATACATGTATCTTTGGAATTCATTTTCGAGTGCGTTGAGTCTTCAACTCCCTCATGAGTCATACAAATAGGGTTGAGTCTCCCATTGTAACTGTAAGTTAAGAAGAGTTTTCCAACAAAAAGGTTCCCTCTCTACCAAAATCCTCTCTAGCCCCACTCTCCCAAATTCCTCTTACATAATCTAAGATGGAAGGTACTAAAGAGGGATGGCAATGGCAAACAAAGGAAATATTTTGGCCAGTTGCAGCCATAGCTATAAGCTACTTAGTTTTGAAAATATGGGAGAATCTATTATTGAAACCTCAAAGAATTCGATCTATTCTTCAGAAGCAAGGGATCAAAGGACCAATACCTTCCTTCCCACAATGCAATCTCTCTGAGATTCAACGAATCCAATCACACTATTTCAATCGCTCATCTTCCATATCATTCTCAATCTCAGATCAATGGTTTTGTTTTCTCTTTCCATATCTCCAACAATGGAGGAAACAATATGGTATGTGCTCACAAACACGTGTGCTTTCTCAATATCTTAATCACAATATGTGTATATAAGTAAGTATATGAATATGAATGTTGTGATGATTAGGTCCAACATACATGTATTCCATTCGGGGTAAGCAGCATTTATATGTCGGAGATCCAGAACTTCTCAAAGAGTTAAATATAACAAGGAGCTTTGATCTTGGTAAGTCTCCTACTATGACCAAGGTTGTGAGGCCTTTGCTAGGAGATGGCATCCTTATGGCTAATGGAAATCATTGGTCCTTCCAACGAAGTATTATTGCTCCTCAATTTTTTCTATCCAAGATTCAGGTTAGTTTCCACCTTCGCTAGGCACACTATCATTTGACATTGTTTAATTGGATAAAACAATAAAAAAAAAAATCTGTTTTGCCCTCCCTCCAATCCTTCTCACAAGGCACCTTGCTTCTAAAAGAGATGGAAGTCTTTATTATATATAAGTCACTTGATAGGGTCTTAATTAACTTTTCCAAACATCATCCATATTTCAGGTTATTAACTTTGACAGATAATGTAATACAAATATGAAATTTTCTATTTAAATATGGGTAAAATAGGAAAATTTATTTCATTTCAAAAACAAATTCAATGACTTGACCACCTCTCCTTAGTTCCAGTGAGGTGATAATTAGAGGTGCCTTACAATAGGGAGCGAAAGCAATATCTACTGATTCTTGCTTTGCACATTTTTAAATGAAATAGTGACCTAACTTTTGTTTTTTGTGGAATTTACAGAATATGGTAGATCTCATGGGAGAATCTACAAAGGAAATCATGAGAAAATGGGAGAGATGTATAGGAGAAAATGGAGGGAAAATGGCTGAGATTGTGATTGAGAATGATTTGAAAGCACTCACAACTGATGTCATTTGCAAAGCTTGTTTTGGTAGATCATATGTTCAAGGAATTCAAATTTTTGATAAACTTGCATCCTTGCAATCAACATTGGCGAGACCAACCCTTCCTTTTGGGTTTTCAATCCTCAGGTTTCATTTAATAGCTTTCTTCATATTTATTTGTAATTTGTCATGTGTAATTCATAATCCTCTCTCTAAAATGCAAACAAGAGAAATCTGACATAAAAGAATTAGGAAAATTGAACACCTTATAACAACTTGCATGCTATGAAACTTTTAGCCTTTATTCATTATTGATAACGCAATATAGTCCCATTAACTTATGAAATTATTGAATCAGTTATTATCAAACCTAGAAACTTAGGCAACTTACTAATGAATTTCAACCAAGTAAAAAGAGCTAAATTGAATTATACTAATTTCTGCATTATTTCTTTATCTTTCCTACATCCATTTCCATTTAATTAACTCAAATATAATAATAAGTACCTATATGCACCTGCTTAGATATCTTCCTACCAAGGGAAACAGAGAAATATGGAGGTTGGAGAAAGAGATAGAGAAGCTAATACTAAAAGTGGTCGAAGATCGTGAGCAAGATAACCAGAATAATGTAAATCAAAACCAAAAGGACTTGTTACAAATAACTATTGATAGTACCACTGATGCCAATCATAGTGGATGGGGCATATTGAAGAAGCTAAGGCACAAACATGAAGCCAAGAAACTGATTGTGGATATGTGCAAGAACATATACTTTGCAGGTTCAGAATCCACAGCTGTATTAGTTATGTGGACTTTGATTATTTTAGCATCCCATCCCCAATGGCAAGAACGTCTTCGCTCTGAGATTCTTGAAACCTATCCCAACATCTCGACATATTGCTTTCGTGATATGGACAAATTTCGAAAGTTGAAACAAGTTAGTACTTTTCTTTCCTTCTAGTAGAATACAATATGGATATTTTCATATCAAGATAAGTAATGTTATGTTTTTCTGATTACATTGAGTCGTAAGACTAATTTATTTAACAATATTGTTATTTGGTAGTTAACAATGGTGATTCAAGAGTGCTTGCGCCTATATTCACCTGGAATAATAGTGTCAAGGGAGGCATTAGAAGAGATCAAATTAGGTGAATTGATGGTTCCTAAAGGAACCATCATTCAATTCTTCATCCAAGCATTGCACAGAGAACCAGATGTTTGGGGACAAGATGCCACAGAGTTCAAACCTGAAAGATTTCTGGGGGGAGTTTCAGAGGCATGTAAGAATCCAAATGCTTACATGCCATTTGGAGTTGGAAGTCGAATATGTTTAGGCCAAAACTTTGCATTGACAGAAGCAAAGATAATGCTCTGTCTTCTTTTGTCTAACTTCTCCTTCTCTATTTCGCCTAATTATCGCCATTTTCCTTCCTACAACATGCTCCTGAAGCCAAAATATGGAGCACCCATCCTTGTTACCAAGTTATAAGAAGTACCAATGAAGTATTGTAATTGTTGGGTTATTTAAATAATAATAACATGTTACATTTTGTCTCTTGTATCCATTAATGATTGTACTTGTGAGCTAAATAGAATGGAATTATATAAAAGTTACTTAATAAGAATAATGCCAACTATATGATATGTACATCATATTTTATAATATATACAATATAAATATTTCCATTTCAGTTTTTGGGTTGAAATTCTTTAAAATTACTCAATAACTTACTATCTCTGGTCCTTAACACAAGGGCTGGATAACTAATTTGTCCTTCTCCGTTAAGTCCCTCCTTGCATACAAGTGCCACATCAGATCTGACATTTTTGCAAGCACCAGATCGGATTGTGAGTTAGCACGTAAAAAAAGAAAGCTATTTTTTTTTTCCCAAACTGGTTATTCCAAACGATTCTACGCCTCAGATCGTGTTGTTCAAATTTTCTCTTGCCAAAGAAGACTTGTGCCCTCTTGACTCTTGCTCGCTTGCGGGTCATATTCCATCAGGCATCAATGTCGTTCTCCCTGGACCTATGAAGGCATGGAGGAAATAGATCTCAAAATTCCTTCTATGTAATTTATGTAGTTTTCTGTTATGAATCTGTATGAGGATTAGCTTGTGAAACAATTGCAGAATGGTTTGTGCGGGAGATTGTCATGCCTTGAATTAACATATGATCATATATCTTAAGATGGTTCTCATCAACAACTGAATTGTTATTGTTCGTGTTCTCATGTTAATGAGGTCTTGGCAATTTTTTCAAAAAAATAATTGTTACACTTGCATATTCATTAATTTTCTTTTTGGAATAATTGTTAGCTACACTTCTTTATAATACATTCAATTGTAAAATGATTTTAGATGAATTTCTTCAAGTATTATTGCAATGAAATACTATCACTATTTTCTCAGTTGTTCAATTGCAGTTTTCCCTTATATCTAATGAATGTTTTGGTTATTTTAGTGTTGAGATTTATAACAACAGTAACATCTTCACTTTTTACCAAATGACCATCCAATTAGAGATAAATGGATTCACATTTGATAGCCAAAAGTTTGAAAAAATGAAGTTTGAAAAATTTTGCTCACGGATTACTATTAACAGCAACCCATAATTTGGCCAAACTTTGAAAATTCATAACTAATTTTAAAAAAATTGAAATTGAGTGATTCTAAGTTCCACTAGAAGCTCTTTAGAATATCTCTTGAGGAAAAGTAAGCTCTGGACGCATTGTCTTCAAATTTGAGCCTAGTTTTAATTTCAAAAAGTACTGTTCATTTGGTCATTTTCTAATTTTTTAAATATTTTTGCCTAATTTTGAATAGGCATAACTTCTTACACAGTTATCTGTTTGAGGCGTATTACCACTCATTTTAAAGGAAAAAAAATAAGATCTATTGATCTAAAAAGTTTCGTGAATTAACTCCTTCAATTGCTTAGATTCACGTCGGTCAAAATTTTCTCTCAAGCAGTTGACTTTTATCCCCATCTATCCATTCTTTACATAATTAAACCTCTAACTTGGCATACCAATTAATCAACCACATAGTTGATTTTTAATAGCATACTTAGCATATAATTTCACAAAGTAGTCATGTAGAGTCATCACAAAATATTTGTTTACATTCTTCCTCAAAAATGCATGAAATGGTTCAAACCATAAAGTGCCATTGCAATTATAATTCCTTCATGCATTGACCATCTCCTTACTGTTTTCTTGTGAAGATGAAAGCCCTAAGTTTTTGTTAAACATGAGGGGTAAGATTCATGGGAATCTTAGTAGCATAGTACTACATTCACAATATCACACAAGCAAAGCATTTTATGCTAAATGAACTTGTTAATACATATTTTCACTTAATGCACATGCCATGGAAGGGACATAACATACTTCTCATTCATAACACTCAACATAGCATAAGCCAAGGCATTACATGCATGGAGTTATACATCACATAACATCATCATTTCATTCACATCATGGCATAGCAACATAGTATAACATAAAGCAATAAATACAATGCAAGGCAACATTAAAATGATAATTGCTAGCTACCTCTTTCAAACTTTATCCTTTCCTTTAAGCTCTTCCTCTCTTGAGGAATTCTTCTTCTTATTGGATGCTAGGCCTATTGATAGCACAATAGGGCATTACAAATTATTATTTTATCCGAAACATTGATCAAATAACCCTTAAACCCAAATTCTTTGATTTTTTGGGTTATTAGTTACAACTTTAATTCTTTAAATCTCTTACTATTTTTACATAATTTTTTAATGTAAAATTCAAATATCTACTTAGATTTATGAAAATCAAATTCCTCCCTAAAGATCTCATTTTGGCCGAATAGGGTACCCTTGGAAAGCACAATTTTCATTTTCAATTTTAATGCTTCCAAGCTTTCTTTCTTGGTGTTTTTCTACACCATTTCATCATTTAAACGTATTGAAAGCATCAAGTTAAATTGAATCCAACTCTAACCATATTTTCTCTCTTTGGCTGAATTGAATCATCAACATAAAGTTGGATTTTCTTTCCAAAACTCAATCAAAACCAATGAAATCCAATCATTTTTAAGGGTTTAATCTATGTTTCAATCCCTTCATCAATTCCTTTCAAATTTTTGAAATTTTGGGCATCATTTCTCCTTAGAAAATGACCATTCAAATCAACATAAAATCACATAAAAAAAGCCCATAATAAATCACAAAAAGCTTAGGAGCACACCTTAGTGATTCCTTGATCTTAGGTGGACTTGCTCTCTCTAGAAATAGCCTTTTGTCTCTCTAAACTCACGAGCAACATAACCTCCCCTATAGTTCTCTTCTTGGTTGAAATGTGAGGGGTGGGAGGGCTATCTATAAGCCAAGCTTTAGCCATTTGCCATCTAAGTTCATCCTAATTACCATGCTTAGGTGTCAACTTCTTATGCAATCTTGCATAATTTCCACTTTGAAAATAAATTCAATTAAAATTGAATTTTTCAAAGTCAAAATCCTCTCTATTCATAGCTTGACAAGTGGCATCTTCTAAGCCAAGTAAAAATCAAGAAGGTTATTCCTTTTTTCCCCCCTTCTAGAAACTATTTTCTTTTTATTTTCTATTTAATTATTTTTCCCCTATTTTGGGCCAATTTAGACGTGAATTATGGGCCTATTGGGCTAGGCATTTTTGCCAAATTTTTTACTTCCCTGATTATCCTTGAATTACACTGAGTACTGGTGCAGTAGCGAATGAATTTTTTCTGTATCCTATCAATTTAACTGCTTCAGAAAATTTATCTCAATGTACTGTTGGCCTTCACTTAGGTAGGAAAGTTCCATGATTTTTCTTAGAATTCAATTCCCTAAGGAATTCTCTAAATTCTATTTTTTCCAAAATCGGCTCTTTACTAATGATAATTATACTTTAAATATTATTAAAGCTAACTTCCTCATCAAATGAAGTCTAGAATAATTTTATAAATTATTATAATCCTCTAAGGTATTTTTTCATATTTTTTCTAGAATTATTGAGGCCTCTAAATATTTTTCATAATTAACTTTTGGTCACTCTTACACGGTGTAATAAAAAATTCATGTAAATATAAAAAATTCTATATTTATTTATTTTCCTTCTAATAATTCCTCTAGGCCTCAAATAAAGTTCCTTGACCTTTATTTCTATCTTTCATGATTTTCTAGGAATTTTGATAATTTTTAACTTAAATTCTCAATTTAATCTTTCTTTACCTGACATTTAAAATATCAGTCTGGCCCTTATCCATATTTCAAAATTCATACTGGTGCTAGCTATAATTTCATCAACCTTAATTGGTCCTTGATTTATCTAATTCCCTTAATCTCAGGGTTAAGATTTTCAGTATGTTACATTTCCTTCTCAAAATAAATTTCATCCTCGAAATTTAACACATCGTATGTGAACAGCTCTGGATACTTGCTCCTCATCTTGTCTTCCTTCTCCTATATGGCCTCTTCCAAGTTTGTATCCTTCCAGATCACCTTGACCAGTAGAATCATCTTGTTTCTTAGTTGTTTGCACTTTCAATCCACTATCTGCTCTGGTCGTACCTTAAATTACAGATTGTCTTTCAACTCAATCTGATTAGGTTCCATCACATGTTCAGGATCTGGATGGTACCTCTTTAACTGAGAAACATAGAAGACATTGTGCAATTGACTTAAATTAGGGGGTAGGGCCAGTCTGTAGGCTACTAGTCCAACTTTAGAGAGTATCTCAAATGGTCCCATGTACTTTGGTGTCAACTTTTTTGCCTTAATGGATCAACCCACGTCAGTAGTTGGAGAAACTCTAAAAAATACATGGCCTCAAACTTGGAACTCTAATGGTTTTTGTCTATTATCAGGGTAACTTTTCTGTCTGCTCTGAGCTGTAAGCAACTTTTGCTTGATCAGCTTTATCTACTTAGAGGTTTAATCCGTCATATCTGGACCCCAAATTTTCCTCTCATTAAGTTTTCTCCAACAGATCAAAGATCTACACTTTCTCCCCTATAGAGCTTCAAACATCGCCATTTGAATACTGGAATGGAAACTATTATTGTAAGAAAACTCTGCTAGCGGCAGGTAGTTATCCCAATTTCCTTTAAAATCCAAAACACATGCCCTCAACATATCTTCTAGGGTTTGAATCATTTGCTCTGTTTGCCTGTCTATTTGTGGGTGATAAGCCATATTACGACTCAACTTAGTTCCCATGGCTTCTTGCATCTTCTTCTAGAATTTGGACATAAACTTTGGGTCTCTATCCAACACAATGTTCTCTGGTACCTCGTGAAGTCTAACGATCTCCCTAATGTATAACCTTGCTAACTTCTCTGGCGAATAGTTAACTTTGATCGCCAGGAAATGGGCCGACTTCATCAATTGATCAACTATAACCCATATCACATTGTAACCTAACGATGTACGAGGTAATCCCACAATAAAATCCACAGAAATGCTATCCCATTTTCACTCAGGGAGATC